AAGGGAGATAGAGATAGCATGTGAGAGAGAGAGAGAGAGAGCAAGAGAAGAGAGAGAGAGAGAGAGAGAGAGAGAAGAGAGAGAATACCAGGGATGGAAAAGAAAGAAAAACAAAATGTGTCAAATGCAGATTATTTTAATGAACCAGGAAAAGTGAATGGAAAAGAAAAGAAAAAAAGAGGAATACACACATATCTCTATCCACACACACACACACACACACAGAATGAGAGATACACAGATAGACAGACATAGACAGAGGGCGAAATAGACTGACATTAAGATTCTATGATATATTTTTCTGGTTTTGCCTATTTTCCACAATTGAGAAAATGTATTAAAAAAGAATGTAGCTTGAAATTGGGACAATTCCGTGATATTCTTGACTTGCGGTGCACTATTGTGTGTATTACGATATTCAACAAGGTTCTCCCTGGTTCTGGAATGACGTCACAACCGGGGATTGCCGAAGATCGCCGATGTTTTGCATCTTCGTTCGTAAGGGCGTTGCTATGGGGTTTTGGGGATACCAGAGGGTCTTTAAAAAATGCATGAATAGGCTAAAAATACATTATTGACCAATATTCAAGGAAAAAACAATGCAGGATAATTACTTTACAAAGCCCTTTAATTGTAGTAAAGATAGTCATCCACGATAAAATCTTAATAATAATGAATAATAAATAATAATGTAATAATGATGATGATGGTGATGATGAATTATATAACAATTATGATAATGATAAAAAATAATAGTGCGATGGTGATGACAACAATGATGAGAATGGTAACACATGTAACAATTTTAGTAATAATAATGATGATAACAACAATATACGTCATGATAACAATGACAAATTATAATAACACCAATAATATTGATATAGGTAATTGTAGGTGTAATAAAGATAAAAATGAAAAAGTAATTGTCTATATTATAATAATACTAGGTAATGCTAGTACCACTAACTCTAATACGGATAAATATAATCATACCATTATCAGTGGAAGTTCCCCTCTTGATAAGATTCATTCCAGTGTTTGTATGTGTGTGCATCGGGGTCGAATGAGCCATTTCCTTACCTCAGCCGATCCACGAATCCGACACCTCCTTCGAGACATTCGCGGTCGGTGAGGAGTGAGGAATGAGGACCCAAGTACCACCGGTCACGTGACTCGGATCTCCACACCTGTGCACGTGCCCTCCATTTTCTGCTTGCTGACGACAGATGTCTGGTGACTGACAGCTGCCCCAGTGTTTACGGCCAAGGGTCAAACACTTAATTGATCCCTTGACATCTAATGATAATTCGTTCAATTAAGATAGTATGATACTAACTGGTAACAACGCTTACACAGATGATTATGTGAACAGCAACGATTAGCTAATGGTAATTATTATTTTAATAACGCTAGGGTTAATTATAAAAAAGCACTCGTAAGTATGGTAATAATAATGATTTTTAACGCTAGGTTAATTATAAAAAGCACTCGTACTTCTGGTAATAATAATGATTATTTTAATAACGCTAGGGTTAATTTAAAAAGCACGTCCTTATGGCAATAATAATTATTATTTAATAACGTAGCATGTTCCTAATCATGTTTTGTTGATGTATGCCTGGTGATGGGTCTGTCTGTGAGGCCTAACCATCGCTTATTTTATGAATTATTTATAAACGATTTGATGTATATATTCATGTACTGATGACATCAAGATACACCTCTTCATGATTTTGTTTATTAAGTACTTTATCTTTTCTGGGCAATTTATAATAACCATTGATGATAAAACTAGTTGTAACAGTAATTATAATGATAGAAGGAAAAGGATGAATATGAAAATGAATACGAAAAAGAGAAAGGGAGATAGAGATAGCATGTGAAAGAGAGAGAGAGAGAGAGAGAGATGCCAGGGATGGAAAAGAAAGAAAAAAAAATGTGTCAAATGCAGATTATTTTAATGAACCAGGGAAAGTGAATGGAAAGGAAAAGAAAAAGAGGGGGACACACAGTTTTGGTAATAATGATAATGATCATGATGGTAATGATAATAATGATCATGATGATTATGATAATAATGATAATAATGATGATAATGATCGTGATGACAATGCTAATAATTATCATTGTCATCACGATCATTATCATCATTATCATTATTACCATCATGATCATTATCATCCATCCCCTCATCTCTCATTCGACACATCTTTCTCCATCCCTGGCATCTCTCTCTCTCTCTCTCTCTCTCTCTCTCTCTCTCTCTCTCTCTCTCTCTCATGCTATCTCTTCTCCCTTTCTCTTTTCGTATTCATTTTCATATTCATCCTTTTCCTTCTATCATTATAATTACTGTTACAACTAGTTTTATCATCAATGGTTATTATAAATTGCCCAGAAAAGATAAAGTACTTAATAAACAAAATCATGAAGAATTGTATCTTGATGTCATCAGTGCATGAATATATACATCAAATCGTTTATAAATAATTCATAA